ATCAAACGAATATTTCAATGTGTTTACCGCCTGTCACTGGACAGTGAAGGTTCGTTATCTCGGAATGCCACACCACTTGGTCTAGATCTATGCCTCACGTATCATGCCTAAAAGGTTCATGCACTGCCGTGTCGTGTGCCCACGAAATATGTACCATCACTAGAATTTGCATAACAACGCTTATTTCTACGTTATCCACTATAGTGCAGTCAGGTTTGCCACTACCGTTCTCCTTGATGATCAGCGAGAGCGGTTGGAACACCCGAGATCTCTTCTCACATTCACCGTACCGTCATAGCACTCGCAGCCTCACCTATTCCACCAGCTCACCCGACCTAACCTACCCTCCCATCCCAATAGTACCTCAGGAGCACGCACTAAAAGACATATGCCAACAAACCTCCATCACGAATAAACTTTTATTTCCATTTCACGTACACATTCTCCCATAGCCATAATTTAAAGCTCGATCCCAAAGAAGGGAATTCGACCAGATCTCGTCAGACCAGTCCCCCTCCTCACGGTCTACGCCCACGCCAAGGGCCCCTATCCATACCACAACCAAACCCTTTCAACATCTCTTTCAATTCCTAATTGATTTGGATGGCGGTTCGTCAAGAGAGGAAGGTCGATTTACCAAGGATGCTCGCCTCCGAACAAGCACTCAATTCAATAGAAAGGCTAGGATTACCCCTACTACCTGCACGTCCTCGTGGTCCTCGTCATGTTCTTGGGTATAGCGTCATCGGGCTAGGCGCTCTTGACTTTTACCCTATTCGTCGATCCACGCTGGTCTCTTGCTCAAGAGTTTACTACTTGGCCCTTGGCTGGTGGATTCTAGGCGCTTCGGTGTGGATGGAAGGGATCCTGTTCTTGAGACGGGTCGGCGTTGGGTAGGCCCTACTCACTATCAGCCAGCAAGTGGCTGGATGCTGAGGCGCCGCCCGAGCTATATCCACTCAACGGGTACTACCAGCCAGCAATATTAGAGTATTGGTGAGCATTGGTCAAGAGAGCTGGATGAGAGGGTCATCTGTCAGCTGGATGAAAGTAGGGATACTGGTCCTGTCTGTGGCTTGATTGTGGCGAGTGTCAGTAATTCAGGGAGCCCAGATGCATCACCCGCATCGATTCCCAGATAGATGCTAGATGATAATGGGTCTGGACGGACTACCGAATGTAGTCTTGAATGGTGGCGAGGAACGTGCGGCAAGAGTCAGACACTGGTCCTCAATGTACCAGTTGATCCTGTTTAGGTAAATCCCACTGACTAAACGTCCTTGACTCATGAACCCATAGAGGATTGATTCCCTGCAGGGCACTGACCTCGGGAGTAAACCGCGCTGTCGATCCCTCAAGCGACAAAGGCACAAGGGGAACACTATCGTCCTAGAGACATGCAAACTCGGAAGTTTGGTAGATGCGTGTTATAGATGCGTAGCACCTCTATTCTTGTCACCAAGCCGGTCCATTAGACCCACGACAAGCATAGGAAACCTCCCGCATCGAACAACCAAGTCTCGAATATCAGGAGGAACGGGAGGAACGAAGAGGAACCAAATGGAAACTGGACAATATGATGCAAGGTCGGAGATTCGATACATGCGCTTGACTTTTGACGTCTGTCAGTGGCTTGCTTATCCGTCTGCGCGACGTTTCACGGTCATCAGATGTAGGTATTGATACTTTTGATCGTTTGTCAACAGTCCAGAAGCAGTCGAGAAATCGGAGATTTGGAATGGCCTAACTGTGCTATTCTTGACGATCGCTAAAAAGTGTAATGCTGCTTGTGATTTCGTAGTGAATGTGCACGGGTAATATACAGACCGTTATTAAAAGGTCGGAGATTTGACAAATGCGCTTGTCCAGCAGCCTGCTCGGATGGACGGAGGGTCGGCCCTGTTTTTCCTAGCGAACGTTTCACAATTAGTCAGTACTTTCCAAAGGAATCTTGAAACGCGGAAACGGCGAGTAGATTCAATGAGTAAGGGAGCAAGGAGCTCGCCTCGCACAAGGGAGACCAGGAGCGGCGAGGCACCAAACCCAGAATGCGCAACTAGAATTCGAGTTTAGGTTTTTTATAACTCGAGTGACCGAGGTTAATCATTTTAGACGCATGTGTGCGTTGGGTTTGGGCCTTTTTTGGCGTCCAGTTCGCGGCCCGCAGCGTGGTGTTAGCCTCGATCCCACTAGTCCGATGAAGTCGCCGTTTCGGCCCAGAACACGTCCGTCCGGAGCCAGTCCTCGGCTACTTTTTTTTTCTCGATGCCAAAGGACGTTAGTCGGGAACAAGGAGTGAGCCCGCTCGGACCTTTATAAACCCATCAAAGTGCCCGTTTCGCATTTCATGAATCGTGGTATGTTCCTTTAAAGTCGCAAGGGTGGTACCTCGTTCCATATTGGGTAGCCGAGAGAAGGACAATCAAGTCGGGTCCGGTTGGTGGAAAGATCGTTGCTCTACGATGTCTAACGCATCAGCAAAAATGGAGTCGTGAAACGGTGTAGCATATGGCTGATGGTTGCCCACGTCGGCAGGTACCAAGTCGGGGAGGAGAGGGGCGGGCATGGCAAGCGGAGAGGTGCGCCTGACAACGTTACTGGTCCAAAATGAGTTAGACTTGTCGCAAATTATGGTAATACTCACCGTGAATGGTAACTCCTCCCCCTTTCCTCTCCGTAATTCTGAGTGGCGTATGCTAGCTACAAGCCATCCATTAACCACGGGTTCTTGCAAGAATTAGAATCGTTCCATTAGGTCCGAATGAGCAAATTCTCTGCGAGTTAGAGTTGCGTCATTTGGACTTCTTCCCACCGTGCGTGTGATTAGAAACCACACAAGCTTGCCCAGAAATGGTTGCCGGATTATCCGTTCGAAGAGATAGGGTCGGACATATGCGCAAAGTTTGGGCGAGACCCGTGGTCAATGATTTGTTTACATGATTTGTGAACGCTGTTTTGTAGGAAAGCGAGCGAGTATTTTGGACAATATGATTACTGCACGCTTGACAGAGATATTTAATTGGGGGGAATGGATGTTTGACGGCCACTGGGTTACACCCGCTTGTCGTTCCCCCCCCCCCGCCATCTCCATTAGAGCGGGAAAGGTGAGAGGTGAAAGAGGTGAAAGAGGCACAGGCCACTTTAGTTGCCCGCTGCTCAACCGATCCTTTCTGGAGCCAACCACACCGACTAACCAAAAACTCCAATCCTTTTTTTCCCATAAAACCATTTTGGAACATCTCTCTCTCTTCCCCCCCCCCCGCTCGCTCGCCCAATCCCCCCCGCAAAAGCTAGCTAGCTCGATACAACGATGCCCGTCCCATCGTCCAGCGGATCCAGCGGAAGTGGCTCTCACAGTCTCCGTAAGCCTGCATCCACGACGTTCCTGCACTCGCCGTCGTCGACTGCGAATCCCAACCCCAATTCCCCAACAAGCGGTAACGGCACAGCGACGGGAGGCGGATGGAAGAGCATTTTTCGGATTTCGAGCATGAAAAAGCTCAACTTGGCCGCGCTCGAGCAACCACAGCCCAATAATGATGACCATCACCATCAGCACACTTCGTCTGCGGAGCATGAGCACAATGGTTCATATCATTCCTCTCGTTCGTCTGGTTCGGATAATAATCTTGATCGCTCACCACATGTTCCACACTCGGCCGCTCCAGCTACTTCCAATGGTAGCAAAGCGGCGCCTAGCGCGTACAATAATAGACCATACCAATTGTCCTTGCAGCAGTCTCCTCTTGCAAGTCCGATCTCCCCCACGGTGGAAAGCGCGAGCACGCCACGCCGGCAAAAATCTGGCTTTCTGAGTCGGAAACTCTCGTCTGCAAAATTGGGTCCCTTTTCGGCTCACCCATCCCAGCAGTCATTCAAACAAAACTCGCTCAAGGACAACAACAGCAGCAGCACTGGCAATAGCCCCACACAGCAGTTGGGAAATGGAATCGCCGGCGGACCCATTACAAACGCTAGTCCCAAGAGCCCAAGTTCCATGGGGACCGCGGCTCGATTCTTGCGACGGGTGGCATCTGCACCAAACGCAAAGGGCCTCCTCAACCCTCGCTCGTCTACCAAGAACGGGCTATTGTCGCCTTCACTAGAGGTTCCGCCGTTACCGCACTCTTCGGAGAAGAATGGCTCGATGGAAACCAACTCGTCCCAATCGTCTGTCCGAGGCGCTCGTGCAAACAGATCGAATACCACCTCTGCTTCCGTCAACAAGCTTGGCGAACCACCGAATAGAGCGGCATTCCGAAGGACATATTCTAGCAACTCGATGAAGCATCGTGCGGTCGAGGTCAGGCCTAGTAGCTTCCAGAAGCTTCAATTACTGGGACGTGGCGACGTTGGCAAGGTGTATTTGGTCAGAGAGAAGAAAACGGACAAGCTCTATGCTATGAAAGGTGCGTTTTACGAGCATCCAGATGATTTTTGAGCTAAATCGAGCCCTACAACGACAGTCCTATCCAAGAAGGAGATGATCGCTCGAAACAAGATCAAGCGTGCATTGGCAGAACAGGAAATCCTGGCCTCCGCCAACCATCCATTCATTGTCACCCTTTACCACTCTTTTCAATCCGAGGATTACCTCTACTTTTGCATGGAGTATTGCTTGGGTGGCGAGTTCTTTAGAGCTCTCCAATCCCGTCCTGGCAAATGTTTATCGGAAGATGATGCGCGATTCTATGCTGCCGAGGTTACCGCCGCCCTGGAATATCTGCACCTGATGGGCTTTATCTATAGAGACCTAAAACCGGAAAGTACGTCGACTCTATCGATTTGATCTCGTCCAACCGAATTAATCTCGCATGATAGACATCTTGTTGCACGAGTCTGGGCATATCATGCTTTCCGACTTTGATTTGGCCAAACAATCGCAAGAACCGGGTGGCTTACCCGCTGCGGTTGTCCAGTTCGAAGATGGGGTAGGTTTCTATTTCCTTTTTCAGAACAGCGTATATATAGTACATGGTGACCCTGACGACTATTCCTTATCCGATTTAGGTACCCATTGTCGATACAAGGTCATGCACTGTGGGAGTGCGGGCAAATTCGTTTGTTGGAACTGAAGGTTAGTAGCCGAACCTGGCGAGGGTGGTGAACGTGACATTTGACGGCCGTATCCATCACAGAGTACATTGCGCCAGAAGTCATCAACAGCTCCGGTCATACCTCGGCAGTCGACTGGTGGACATTAGGGATCCTCATTTATGAGATGATTGTGCGTTTTCTCTCGTCGACAGGGACAAGAGGGCTAGAGTGCTAACGATGTGATTTAGTTTGCCACTACGCCATTCAAAGGGCACAACCGGTCCGTCACGTTTAGCAACGTCTTGACCAAGGAGGTTACGTTCCCCGCTGAGCCCCGGATAACCGCGTAGGTAGCATCATACGGATTCTGACTAAGCATGCTGACATGTATTTGGCGATGTAGTGCCGGCAAGGATATCATCGTTCGACTCTTGCACAAGGTCGAAGCAAAACGACTGGGTAGCCAAAGTGGAGCTAGTGAAGTCAAACAACACAAGTGGTTTGGCAAAGTTTCTTGGGGACTCTTGCGAAATGAAAAGCCTCCTGTGAGCACTTTTTCAACATGGTCTCGTTTCCGCTAACCTCGTTTGACAGATCATTCCCGACCTTGAAAATGCTCAAGCAAGGAACTTCCGTCAATTGAGAGAGTCGACATCCTTGGATCTAGAAAACCAAGATCTGACACACCACACCTTCTCTCCTCCTCTGCCCCCGACACCAAGTTCCAGCCGGAATGATGGGATCAACTCGGCCAGTGGCTCGGGTGAATGGCCAGGCGCTACCTCGCCCGGCACTCCAGGTACCCCAAGACGAGGAAGTGCTCCGAATGCACACATGCCTGGCTCACCCTCGTCGCTCAGTCGTGGGACGAGTCCCAAACCCGGAGCGAATAGCCCCAAGCCTGACGTCTTTAGCGCTTTTAACAGCGTCAGTATTCTCCATTCCTGATGAACACAAGCAAATGATCCGATATTCGGACTCGCTTGTGGTATTTAATGCGGCCTTGTTCTCTCCCCATGCTAGCCGCTCCCACTCTTCCCACCCAGCCCATCTCGTGTCCATTGTCTGATTTGTATCAAAATCACTTGAACCACCCCTCCTCTCTCCTCCCCGCTGGTCGACTTCCATGTCCTGGTTTCCCGTCACTCGCTTACTCCCCCTTTATTTGCTCGACC